ATAATTCAACCATAATAAAAAAAAAAATTGAAGCTCTGAAAAATAAAGAACTCTAAGCCAGAGCTGACAAATGGGTGGCAATAGTACACTTGCCTCCAGAAAACACTGCAGCAAAGACTTACTTGCAGCAATGAACAAATGTCTCTAAGCATTTCTTGCACCATGAAACAATACACCTCCATTTAAATAAACTCAGAGCGGAAATAATTTTTGTCCCATCAAAACTATTCAAGAAGTGTACATATCAGAAGGCTGAGATTAAGTTTAATTAAAATGCCAAGAAAAGGTTTATTAGTATTGATAATAGTCAAGCATTCATATCAAAAAGTGTTCTAAGTACTTTACACTGATGAAGTTATGTTTTTATTCCACTGTATAAAAATTAGCAATAAAGATCTTATAATAGCAATGAATATTTTCTATTACCCCACAGGAATTTGTGGTGCTAACCCAAAGATCACGTGTCTTGTTCCGAGGAAGAAGACAAGAAATCTTCTTGAGATTATGGCTTTGGAAACCCAACCAAGGTAAACTATGAGTCAGTTCCAACTACAACACAATAAGTTGGAGCTTAAAATATCACAATCGTTTGCCTCTGGTAGAGATCCATTTACTAAATGGGTAAGGACCATAAAGCCTCAGGAAAGATTAGCTGCAACAGAATGAAGCCAGAGGTATATCAAGTTAATAGGAACATCCTTGCTTATGATAACGTGTTATCAGTTTCCTAGCAAAATCATCTTGCATGGAAACAAACAAAAAAAGAGCTTGTTTAAATAATGGAAATAAGAAAAGGAGAAGTTTCCCATAATTTTGTAGTTGCAACATTATGCCAGGTAAGGTATGAGCTACCTTATGAAGTTTAGATTATTAAATAGACAAAATAATTAAAAATCCCAAGAAACTTGATGATAAGGAATCCTTTGTGCTCATGCCACAAATGAAGAAATAGTAAAATACAGAACAGTGAGACTCTTCTTGGTAGACAGCTATGCTACCGACTGTCCATTAAAAAAAAGGGGGCTGGGGCACTCAACAGTCTGAAATTAGGCTTCAGATATATGCTGCTGAAAAGAACACATCACATTTTCCTTCATACTTGAAGGGGGGGGAAAAATCCTTATACTTCACCACAAGAGGGTGCTCTTAAATAAACTACTGATCTTCTATAAGAAGTATCTGGATTTTAACCACAGAAAAAGTCAATGACTGTTTTTCCATGGCATATTCACTTAAGTTATCTATCAATTAAAGCTTGACAGGACACATTGACAGTAGAATCATAAACCATTTTCTACCACTCCTATGTTCTTGTAGTTGATTTCAAATGTTTGATGTAAGCGATTTTATGACTTGAAGTATTCTGTGACAACAACATTCACATTGGGATCATGAAAATATATTTTAAGATAATCTTTTCAAAGTCTGGCTTTATGTTCTGTCTTTGAGAGCTACTTTCTTCTTGCTGTTCTGACCAGTGACCTTTTTCCTGAAAAACAAACAAAAACAGAGAAAAGTGAAATCAGAAATTCTCACTGTATGTATCTAATAAATACTTACTGGTACCTATTGTACATGATGGAGCTCTGGAGGCCTAGAGGTAAGAAGCTGCACTGCATTTCAAAAGGCACATAGTTTGAATCTACCACTGTTCCATGGGAAAAAGATGGGCAATGTCCTCCCATGAGATTTACTGCCTCTGAAAACCCGCTGAAGTGCCAGCTATAGGATGGTTCCAACTCGACCACACACAACTGTACATAAAATCTATGAGACACTAGGAACACATAAGGTTACTGCCTTTAAGAAACTCCCTAACACCAGGTAAGATAGAAACAATACAACCAACTACACTATCACATCGTATGGGTTTAGATTCTGACCGAAAACCAGAATTCACAATTTACTGAGTGCTTACTAAGTGCTAGACACTGTTACAACTGGTTTATATATATTAACTTTAGTATAATCTTCCTAACCACTTACTATGCTAATTATTACAGATGATAAAAGGGCACAGAGTTTTAAGTGAGTTCACACACTGGTAAAAGTATTAGACATAAATGGTGACATTCTGATTCTAGAGCCAGTACACTCTTCAGGAGAGTATGGACTGCATACTGGGGGTTTGTAGAAAAAAAATGAACAGAATTTGGCAGTCCTATGGAAGGCAAAGAACTCAAATAATGATTGGAGGTTTTTCAGCCTCAGTATTCTGTGAATGATGAATGTAATTAAATAACTTGTAATACAGGAAAAGGAAAAAGTTTTAAGAAAATATTCAATGTTTGCATAGTACATTATCACAATTTAATGATCTTTTTTGTCTATTTATACCTTTAATACTCTAACCATGCTTGATAGAAAGCTGATATAATTTTCATTAAGTATAGGAACAAAGCCTTTAAGAGATTAGGGTTTCAAATTTATAATCCTGTCAGGTGCTGGGGCTAAATATGGTTTTCAGCATTACCAGCACAGATATATGAGCAGAGACTCCAGGTACAGGTTGGATCATTAGAGGAATATCCATAGTGAAGAGGTAAATGATGTTATTCACAATAACAAATAGATGGAAGCAACCCAAGTGCTCATCAACTAATGAACTGATAGAAAAACTATGGTTTATTTACATAATGGAATACTACACAGCACCGAAAAACAATGAACTCATAAAACATTACACAACATGGATGATCCTGGATGACATTAGGCTGAGTGAAATATCTCAGTCACAAAGTGATAAATATTGCATAAAAACCACTATTATAAAGCAGGACTGACATGGGGGCTTGGGAGAATAGGAAAAGAGTAGATATATAATGAATACTATATTGGAAGAGATGAAGGAAATAATTGTTTAAAATGTTGCCACACACATTTTAAATTGATGACCATGCTTAGACACTTTTTTTTTCTTTCTGATGTATTACCGTCATTTGCGGCAATGTGTTAAAAGGAATATATGATTAGGCATTATATGTAAGACAACAGTCCAGGATAAGAGGTACAATGCAAAGAGGAATGAGGGAGCAGGAAGGAAGGAAAATGTGCAATGATGAATGAATGAAAATCCAACTTTTCTGTAAACTTTCATTAAAATCACTATTAAAATAAAAATTTTATTAAAAAAAAGTAAATGATATATGGTCTCCAAATATGAGAACAGAAAAGACAAGCAGTTAATCTTAAACAGAGGACTGATGTGGCAGTATTTACACCAAGTGTCTCAGAAGTTTTAATGTTGCTTTAATTATCTGTGGGAATGTAAACACTACAAACAGGGGAATATGACAGAATAGACAGAAAGAAGTATTAAGTTATTTATAATTGTAATAGCCTAGGTCATTAATGGTAGTAGGGTGGTATAAAACAACACAAGTAAGCAAACAAAAACACATAAACAATGAGGAAACTTTTAAAAATGCACTTCCATGTTTATTGCTGCATTATTTACAATAGGAACATGCCCAAATGTCCAACCACAGAAGACTGGACTGAGAATCTATGGTACATTCACACAATGGAATACTATGTGGCACGCAGGAGCAATGCTTTTGTAAATCACTTCCTAACTTGGGAGGGACTGGAGAACATTCTGCTGAGTGAACTAACTCAGTCCCATAAGGACAAATACTGTATAAAACCATTATCATAAGCACTGCAATCCCAGAGGCACATGGTTCAAATCCACCAGATGCTCTTCTGGAAGAGGAGGGGCAATCTCCTCCTGTACCAGTCAGATCTGATTTGATGGTACAAACACAAACACAATAAATAAATAAAATTAACAAACAAACACAACAAACCACAAAACCATTATCACAGAATGAGTATGAGGATCCAAAGGTGGGCGGGGCAGTGCAGAGGAGGAAGAATGGGTGGGCAGGTGGTTAATCACAGGCTTGTACAATTTGATGGGGAATGGGGGGTGAAGGAAATGGGAAAGATTTGGCATGAAAAAGAATATGTAAGAACTTAGTAAATAAACCAGTATTTTTAAATTTATTTTAAATTTAATCAAGCACTTCTACCAGAGCAGGTATTAGTGGATACTAGTATAATCTGGGAGCTCTGATGGCATAGTTCATAGGAAGCTGCACTGCCAAACTACAGGCAGCGTTATCTCTAGCAGTTTGAATACATAGTGGTTTCTGCAAGAGAAAGATGGGCAATTTCTTCCCATGTACTTTAGAGCCTTAGAAAATCCACTGGAGGGTCAGTTGTGACTCAATGGCAATAAATTAGTTAAGAGGTAAAATTTGAAAAAAGCCTGGCACAGACAGTTTCACTAATTCTATCAAAAATTCAGAGAGCCATTTTTATTCAAGCTATTTAAAAATGTTGGGGGGGAAATATCCTAGCCAACAGAATCCAACATCACATAAAGAATAGCATACATCTTTATCAAGTGGGATTCATAACCAGGTATGCAAGGATGGCTCAACATAAGCAGAACAGTAAGTGCAAACCACCACGTTAAAAATTCGTATGTCACATCCTATACAAAATATAACTCAAGATGGAACATTAAGGACCTAGTATAAAGCTCATCAAAGAAAGAAGTGGACAAATTTAAAAGCCCTAAACTATGATATAAAGAAATAATCAATGCGTAAGTAGTAGATGGCAAACTAAATGATTAAGACTTTATAAAAATTAAATCCCTACATGTACCACAAGACTTCTCCAAAAGACAGTCTACAGACTGGGAAAAAAATATATGGCAATGACTTATCTGATAAGCAACTAAGGAATTAAGGGTGTACCGTTCAAAATGGCTTTCTTAGCCATTGATTTTGACTTTGCCAGTGGATAAGTGGAAATATGTAAATAAGGAGAATGGCTAATCTTGCCAGTAAACTGAATGAATTCAGTAGCAGAAATTGGGTATCGTACCACCAGCAAAGAAGAACCCTAGAATGCAGAGTGCGTGTTATTTAGGGCCAAAGATTCCTGCACCACTCAGACTGGGGTCTAGAGCAGCAGTGGCAGCAGTGGTAGAGAATCAAAGATCTAGAGCTGACTTGTGACTGCTACCTCATGGAACCAGAGCTAAGAGCCTTTGCCCAAACTTGCAGGGGGACTAGGAATAGAGTCATAATTTGAAGGACTAAGCTTTCTAACACTGGCCTAAAGCCATGGGCTGATGGATGAAATACCCGCAAGCACATTTTAGAAGCTGTCCTCTCTGAGTGAGTGCATTCTGCTGCCAATGTGAATTAAAGCCTTTGACTTCCCTAATAAACCTCATAATTTTGAGTATGCTGTGAGCTACTGAAATGGATGCTGGACCCAGTAAAGTAGTTAAGATTGGTGCTGGGATTAGTAGTGATAGGTGCAGGAGCATGGAAGAAAGGTCTGACCTCATAGGAATTGGTTTTGTGTTGTCAATGCTGTTGACAGAGATAGTTCTCCCTTAGTAGAGGTTAGATATGGCTGTTCCCTTGCTGCCCTTACTCCTTTCAGTGAAAAACTTACAGAAAATTCTAGCACTTAAAAAAACCCCCAGACAATCCAATTATAAAATGGGCAGAGGACACTTCACCAAAGAAATTTAGCTGGCCAACACATAGGAGAAGAAATGTTCAATAGCATTACCTACTAAAAAAAAAAAATTAAAAAAAAAAAAATCTTCTGCTGAGTCAAATCTGACTAGAGTGGACCCTCCAGTGGGTCTTCAGAGGCTATAAATCTCACAGAAGGAGACTGTCCGTCTTTCTCCCTTGAAACAGATGGTGTATTGGAACTGCTTGCCAGGCATGGAAAGAGAGGGAAAGGGAAGTAAATATTAACAGATAAATAAATAGTAGACATTGAGATAGGTGAAACGAAAGGTAATACACTATAAGGGAATGATTAAATACTGCATGTAAGTAATGTTTATAAAACAATATGCATTATTACAGAAATAAAAACTAATTTACTTTGTGAATTTTCGTTCACATCACAAAATGGGAAAGAAAAAATATATTAGATCAATATAAGTTAATGGTACTGACTACTAGCCTGATGCACACTATACAAAGACGATGTTATTTACTGTGTATCATCAAGTTGGAACCAACTGACCCTCTAGTGGGTTTTTAGAGAAAGTAAACTTGCACAAGAAAAGATTTCCCAGCTTTCTCCCCTAGAGCACATGGTGAATTTGAACCTCATGGCTTTGGGTTGGCAGCACAACTTTTTACCCCTAGGCTATGACAGCTTCCTGTAAAAATATCATCAAATTCTACTTGAAAATTGAAGCTGCACTTTCAGAGAAAGTCACTAATGCATAGATACAGAAAAAAATCCAAGAATGAATCATCCAGGCAATCTGATATATACTACTTTTACCACTTCTATAAGGGACTGCACACTTTATCAATTCCATTTCTAAAAAAATAAAAAATAATGCCTCTTGTTAGGTTATGTTATGTTACGCTATGTTATGTTAAGTTAGAACCAGGTCAGCTGGAAATCACCTCCAGTTGATTAAGAGAAACTGTAAACTCCATGGGAAGCAATTGCCCATTTTTCTCCTTAGGAGCAGCTGGTGGATTTGAACTACAAAAAGCCTTTGAGTTGGCAGCACAACTCGTTACAATTAGAACATCAGAATTCCCCTATTATGGTTACTCTAAGATAGAGTCAAACAGCAACCAGTCCTCACCTATACTTACCGTTTATCTTTCGTTTTTTCTAAAAAATATTTTGGAGTTGTACTAATGCTCTCTCTTTCCAATGGTTTTTTAATCATTTTTTTCTTTTGTTTGCTGAAAATAACAGAGAGGGAAGAATTAAACACAGAAGAGTTAACATTAAAATTAGCATTGATCTTCATTATAAAATATATTTTTAAAACCACTTATTGGTTTAAAAGTTGGGGCTGTATACATTTGTATGCAACAGATTAGCTTTGAACATTTAATGAGTAAACCCCAAAGAGATAATACATTCAATCATTTTTTTAAAAAAATAATACCAACTGTTGTTGTTATGTGCCGTCGAGTCGTTTGCGACTCATAGTGACCCTAATGTACAACAGCCCTAAACCCTGCTCTATCCTGTGCCAATCGCATTGCCTCTGACACACCCAACCCGATTACTCCAGTCACGGAATCAATTCACCTCATAGAGGGTCTTCCCCTCCTGCGCTGTCCCTCTACTCTTCCCAGCATGATGTCCCTCTCCAAAGACCTGTCTCTCCTTGCAACATGTCCAAAGTATGTCAGACGAAGCCCCAGAATCTTTGCCTCCAAGGAGTAGCCTGGTTTAACCCTCTCTAGGATGAATCTGTCTGTTTTCTTGGCAGTCCATGGTACATCCATTCAATACTCTTCTCCAGCACCACAGCTCAAAAGGCGTCAATTCTCCTTCTGTCCTCCCTAGTCATTGTCTAGCTCTCTGATGCATAACAAGTGATTGCAAAGACCATGGCCTGTTATCAGGCACACCTTCGTCTCCAAAGAGACACCGCTGCTCTTGAGTACTTTAGAGAGGTCCCTAACAGCAGACTTTCCCATCGCAATACGTTTTTGATTTCCTGGCTGCTGGTGCTAAGAGTGTTGACTGTGGAGCTGAGCAAACTGAAACTGTGAACAATCTCAATCTCTTCGCCATCTATCCTGACGCTACCAATTGGTCCAGTGGTGAGAATCTTTGTCTTCTTGACATTGAGCCTCAGTCCATACTGAAGGCTGCAGTCCTTGACCCTCTGCAGTAAGTGCATGAGGTCCTCCTCAGTTTCAGCGAGCAAGGTTGTGTCATCTGCATAACGCAGACTGTTGATAGATCGTCCACCAATCCTAACGCCACGCTTCTCTTCATAGAGCCCAGCCTCTCGGATAATCTGCTCTGCATACAGGTTGAAAAGGTGTGGAGATAGGACACATCCCTGGCGTACACCCTTCCCAATTTTGAACCATGCAGTGTTGCCCTGCTCTGTTCTGACGAATGCCTCTTGGTCCAAGTATAGGTTTCACATTAGCACGATTAAATGTTCTGCGATTCCCATTCTTCTCAGAGTCAGCCACAATTCTAATTAACAGTCTGTGTCAACTTTATTATGTCCTATGCCAGTAATCACTAGCTTTATTTTAGCCAAGTAACTGCTTTTTCACCACTAGATTTATGAAAGTAAACTGTAAGCCCATTCTCTTCACAATGAAGAACAGAAAAGAAAAATCAGACCATCTGAAATCTCAAAGACAAATAAACCTACCAGCAAAGAATATACACAAATTTGTGAATACATAAATACTAAAATAAAACTTTTATCTTAAAATAATGCTCTAAAAATTCATGACTATAAGGAATTACAATGTGAACAAGGGAATGTGAAAGAAAAGAATCTACATGTAGGGGGGGGGGGGAAAGAGTCAGCTCCAAGTAAATTTAAGGTTGTACCTTAGTAGCTTTTTGAAACCTTTTATGTATTCTGGTACAGGACATCCGGCCTGCTGTATAACATTGGCAACACTGAAAAAGGAACCCCAAAACAAAACTGAATGTCAGGCTACATTTATGTGTACAAGATAAAAGAATATAAAGCTACCCAAAAGGTAAACTGTTCTGATATAATTGGTCATCCACCATTATTACAGGGAATAATTAATCACCAGGCATTATACAGGGAACTCTGGCAGCTTAGTGACAAGGAGATGCATTACTAACCCAAAGGTATGTGGTTCCACAGAAGATCAATGGGAAATCTCTTCCCATGCAATTCACTGTCTCTGAAAACCCACTGGAGGGTCAGCTATGAGTCGTTTCTGACTCAACAGAAAAAAACCCCAAAAAACTAAATATTACATTAAGAGTAATATCAATTGATAGCTATTGGGACAATCACGTGAGTCTGAAACTTATTTTCAAATTTTATTAACAGAAGGGCACAAAGAGTCCTCTGATCTGTTTTCTTTCTATCATTGCTAAAACTGGTTGACATACTATAATAAGCAGTACTGGTGGCTTAGTGGTGAGGACTTGTGCAGCCAATCCAAAAGTAAGTGGTTCAAATCCTCCAGTTGCACTGTGGGAAAAAGATGGGCAATCTCCACTCCAGGGATTTATTGCTTCTAAAGACCTGTTGGAAGGTCAGCTATGAGTCATTTCCAACTCAATGGTATATGCAACACCACAACACTATTATAATAAGAGTTTGGGACAAAGCCATGGAATTGATGGAATTATGTTAACTGAATATACATATACATTTAGAAATAATGAAACAATTTTACCAAATTAATTTGAAGTTCTTTTTCCTAAATTACCTTCTTAATAGCGGTTTATCATCTTCAGTAAAAAATGTAATAGCTTTTCCTTTGTGCCCTGCTCTTCCAGTTCGACCTAAAAGAAATGAGATTATAAAAAGTATTTTAAAGGAAGGAATCCTCAAAATTCATGTATTAGAGGGAGGAAATTTTCACAACACTAATAAAAAAATGACATATGTGAAGGGAATTGGAGAAAGCAAAGATAGATAGGTAGAAGGCAGAGGGAAAAGAAAAGACAACTCACCTATCCTGTGGATATATTCCACTGAGCTGGTTGGAAAGTCGTAGTTGATCACTAAGTTCACACCTTTAAAATCAATTCCTCTTGCCAACAACGCTGTACAAATAAGAACCCAGATCTTTCCAGCTCTGAAGCTGTGGACGGTGTTGTCTCTCTGGGTAACAGATCATACAATAAATATTTAGTGTTATTCTAGGAATGAGATAAAAGTAATTGTCAATTATTTTTTTCTTTATGGTTTGGAAAGTACATGTCTGACTTTACCTGTTGCTGTGTTCTCTCTGCATGAATAACATCCACATTAATACCTTCATATATGAGCTCATGAAAAAGTTCTTTTGCTCTTTCAATGGACTGAACAAAAACAAGAACAGGTGGACTGAAACCCTAAAAGAAAGATGACAAATATCAGAACATATTACTTGTAAGACCAGGAGCTCTGGTGGCCTAGTGGCAAGAAGGTGCACTGCAATCCCAGAGGTATGCAGTTCAAATCCATCAGATGCTCTGCTGGAGAAGGAGGAGCAATCTCCTCCTGTACCAATCAGATCCGATTTGATGGTACACACACATGAACAATAATTTAAAAAAAAGAAACAAAACCCAAAATTAAAAAAAAACCCCAAGACTAAAACTGTTCATTATTTCACCAAGTGCTTTTAATGAAGATGACCAATTCAATCCAGTGTATAGTCTTACTGCCAGATTTCTTGAACTAGTGGTCTAAATCAGCCTCCATCTTCCTCACTAGTCATTCTCTGTAAGTACTATCTTTTTTTATCAGTCAACTTGAATTGTAATCTCCATTTTTTAATTCAAATAATATTGCTCACTGAATTTTTCTTCAACTTCCTAAGGGATAATGAATGTCGACTCCTTGAGGGCCATCAAAATGTTCTGGTTTTGTTTAAAATATAGTAACTACTCTCTTTAAATTTTCGCTTTCAGTTGCAGTCCCCAAAGCTTAAGTCTTTGTTTGGTTCTCTTAATGTAATCTTTATCATAGTAAATGAAATAAAACCTTAATATTAACTACTGTTGTTGTTACGTGCCATCAAATAGCCTGCGATGCATAGCAACCCTATGTACATCAGCTCTGAACCCTGACTAAGCAAATCCCACTAATTCCCACACACCAACCTCCACTGGCCCAGTCAGTGCATCTCATTGGGGTCTTCCTCTCCTGCGCTGTCCCTCCACCCTTCCAAGCATGATGTTCTTCTCTAAGGACTGGTTTCTCTCCTGGTCATGTGCCCAAAGTATGTTAAGACAGAGCTTCAAAATCCTAGCCTTCAAGGAGATACATGCTTTCACCCTCTCTAAGACAGACCTATTTGTTCTCTTGGCAGTCCATGGTATGTTCAAGACTCTCTTCCAGAACCACAATTCAAAGGCACTGATTCTTCTTCTGTCATCCTTAGTCACTGTCCAGCTCTCTGATGTACAGTAAGCAATTGCAAAGACCATGGCCTGGAATAGGGGCACCTTAATTTCTAGTCTGACACTGTTGCTTTTCAGCACTCTGGAGAGGTCCCTGACAGCAGATTTACCCAATGCAACTCTCCCTCTGATTTCCTGACTGCTGGTGTTAATTCAAAGTGTTGTCTGTGGTGCTGAGTAAGCTCTAATTGTTAACAACCTCAATTTCTTCTTCATCTATCATGGTGCTGCCAACTGGCCCACTGGTGAGAATTTTTTTAATTGAACTTTTAATGAAAGTTTAAAGAGACTTTGGATTTCCATTCATTCACTGTTGCACATTTCCTCTCTGCCCAGCCCTAAATCTTTGTTTTCTTAATGTTGGGTTTCAATCCATATTAAAGACTATAGTCCTTGACCACCTTCAGCAAGCACTTCAGATTTTCTTCAGTTTCAGCAAGCAAGGTTGTGTATTCTGCATAAGGTAGGTTGCTGATGAGTCTACCTCCAATCTTGATGCCACATTCCTCCTCATAAAGCCCTGCTTCCCAAATGATCTGTTCTGCATGTAGACTGAAAAGGTACGGAGACAGGATGCATCCCTGATGCACTCTTTTCCTGATTTTGAACCATGCAGTATTTCCCTGCTCTGTTCTGAGGACAGCTTCCTGATCCAAGTACAGGTTTTGCATAAGCACAATCAAGAGTTCTGGGATTCTCATAATATCAACTATTAGTTCTAAGCAAATGGCCTTTGAATTTAAATCATCAAACTCTCCCTTTCATTCCAATCAGGCTGGTAAATTTTCAATTCTTCATATAAAACTTTCATTATAGTCAAATTGACACTAACTCATAGCTGACCCTCCAATAGTTTTTCCAAGGACTGAGAGTCATGACTGGTGGATTCAAATGCCAGACAGGTAGAGCCTTTGGGTTATTAGCATACCTATGGACCATGACTTGGCTTATTCTCTTTAGTTTACAGGTCATTTTCAGAAACTGCTATCTAGTGGTAAGAAACTGTGTGGCAATCCCAAAGGCATGCAGTTTGAATCCAACAGCTGTTCCATGGCAGTAGGGTGGGCAATCATTGGAGGGTCAGCTATGACTCAGTTCCAACTTGACGGTACACACAACAATAGGTAACCTCGCATTCACAAAAAATCTTAGACATCATTTCAGGGGGTTCTTTGGACCTAAAGCTCATACAAAACCAGCCATGTACAACGTAGCGCCCTATTGGACAGAGGAGAAGTGCCCCACAGGCTTTCCAAGGATGCACTTCTTTATGGAACCCAACTACTATTGGTGAAGCAGCTGGTGAATTTGGAACACTGACCCTTTAGTAAGCAGTTGAGTGAATGGAAATAAAAAGACGAAAAAAGATTATGTCCAAACCTGTTAATACCAAATAAAGTATACATTTTCTAAAAAAAAAAAAACAAAAAAAACACACACACACAAAAACAAAAAACAAAAAAACCCCACAAAACACCAAAACCAAAAAAAAAAACCTTATTTCTGTGTTCCTCAAAAATGTCCAGTTGTGTCTCTTAATTTGATCTTCTGTTAACTTACCAACATAAACTTTTTACTTTAGTCAAGCAACATCTTATCAGTCTTCAAATGAATCATGTTCCTTTCCACTTCTTAAATTTGTTACTGTCATTTGGTCTTAAAATCCTTTATGGCTCAGATTATAGCATTTTCTCCATAAGGCCTTTCCTCTACTAACTGAACTAATTTTTCCACTATGAGTATATGGAAACTTAAGAAAAAAAATTCTCTAGCTTAAAGTATTTTATATTTATGCAGATGTAGAGGGAATGAAGCTTTGAGGTCATCTCCCCGGCTCCTTGAACTGGGAACAGAAGACATACCAAATCCTGGAAGGTGAGCTTCTCCTCTCGGGACAAGAGATGACCCAGTGTTCTTCCTGACAGTTTCAGTATGAGGCAGGAATAGTGCTCAGCTTCTGAACAGTGACATAAAGCTTAGTGGCCTTTATAAAAATCAAAGAATGGAGTCTAAATATACCTTTTTAACAAGTTCTCTCATGGCCAGAAGTTTTCCAGTCTCAGACCCAACAAACAGAAGTTCTTGTTCTACTGTCTCCACTGCAGAATTTCTAAAAGAAAATACAGCTTAATTTGCAAGAGCCAATTTCTCCTTTTCAATTCTAACTAACCTGAAATGTAAATATCAACAAAATAAACTTTTTCACTGTCTAAAATATATTTATTTACTTATTATATAATTATAATTTGAAGGTAAAGTAGTTAATTAATAACAAAATCAACAGATAACCTCTGGAAAATCTGAAATATACATAATATATTGAGAAGAAATTAATCAATAATCTTACAATTTCCAAATAAATGGGTGACATTTCAGTATATTCCAGTCATATTCACTTGTATTATTTACTTACAAAAATACTTCTGAATGTAAAATTATTATAATAAGGGCATTTTAAAGATTATTATACAGAGTCAAAGTTAATGACTAGCAAAAATTAATTTAGACTATCAGGGATGAGATATATAAAACCGTATTCATGTTATAGAGGCTCTTCCCCTAAAGATGTTGTAAATATGTTACATTGTTTTGCCTGCCTTTATTATTATTTTTATGCTGAGTTTGTTTTGCTTTCTTTTTAAATACAGGAATTTCAAATAGGCATAAACAGCCTTCACTGTTATCAGTTGGCTTTATAAGCACCTCTTCTTAGTCACAGTCTTTACATTTGTAATTATCATTACATGGCCTGTACCTAATCTCTTCAGTAATTTTTCTACCAATGAGTTTTTATTTAATATAAAATGTTTCTCAAAATAATTTCCGAAAAGAATAATAAACCAAATAATCCACTATCAGGTCCCTTCTTGTGGTCCAATGTAAGCTATAAAAGAAGCAAGCTCCTTTGAATGGCCACAGTCTCTAGTCCTATTTCGTGGGTTGAAAAGATCATCTAAAAGTAAGATGACAGAAACACTAATATGATATTCTGGAAACTTCCTTTAGGATTATTTAAAACAGATAATCTCTCATCAATCTTGACTTAAAAGAATACAATTATCTTAATAAATGCTCTCCCTTATTAGTATCAGGCTAAACAATCTTACATCTTTAGTCTAAAAACTGGACTGGTCTTTAAAGACAAAAGGAATGAAATTATGTAGAAGAAAAATTACCTTGCTCCAATGGATACAGAAATTATGTTGTCCAGGTTGAGTTTGCACCACTGTTCAACATCATATGCAAAAGTTGCACTGAACATAGCTCTTTTGACCTTGTGGGATGTGCAGGCTAGGAAAATGGAAGCCAGCTGGTCTCTGAATCCAGTTTTGCCATCTTCAAACAGTTTGTCTGATTCATCTACTACAAGCCATTCAACACTAAGAAATAACAAAACAACTTTCTTAAATACAAAGATCCAACTGTGGGGGCATATGATTAAGTCATTCCATGATACTGCTCTCAGATTAATTTAATCATAACAGAAAGAAGCAAAGGGTCAAGCTCAAGGATACGAGAGCTTACCCTTCTATTAACAATAACAGAGACTGACACAAAACTTAGGATGTATTCCATGGCCACTACTGAGATGTGAAAAGGTCTGAAGAATACTGTACTTCCTACTTACACTGTAATTAGTTTATGTACTAATACTCACATATAAACTTTTCAAACAAGTTATTTTTCTATGTTTAATGAAAATCATTATTCTCTGCATCAATACTGACTAAAAGTTAGCAGACAGCAAATTCCAAATGGTAGTTATGCAAACAGTTGAGGACAAAATACATCAAATTTTTAAAAAGCAAAAGAACATGAAAGGATTATTTATACCTTGTTAGGTCAATTCCTGGAGGATCTTGTTTTAATAAATAAATTAGTCGATTTGGAGTTGTCACAAGGATATCTATAGGAGAAAGAAATAGTACAAACTGCAAAAGCAAGAATTATGCTTCACGAACCAGGGAATCTCAATCTCCTTGAATTTTAGTTAATAGCCGAGATGTGGATAGTCACTAGGCCAATCACAATATTCTTCTTTCTCAGTAAGCTAATATATCTAGTTTATTAAGTCCATTATAGTACAAACTCTTACTATTTGATCTGCCTTCTCAATTCCTAAATAGCAAAAATATTACAATCCAACAGCTTGCATTAGAAGTTTTTTTCTTCAAGACATTCCTTTAAATGATGTCTTCTTACTCAGAAGATCAAGATTAAAGATGAGTAAAAGTGCAATCTCTGGGTGATGTAAGGGTCGGGACGCCACTTGAAAATCCTTGGTATAAAGCACAATTTTTCAGTGTTGGCAATACTGACATCTTGGGTCCAACAGTTCTTTATTATGGGGGGTTATTTTAGCATTAAAGGATTTCTAATAGTAACTCCTAGTATATGGTATTGATTCCCTCTGTCAGGAAAAAAAAATGATTGCAGACACTGTCCAATGTCTCCAGCACAGCAGTCATATGCCAAAGATGCAACTGGTAAGAACAGTGATTAGTCTAGAAGTATTAATATATTTGTGTGTGTGTATATAGTTACTGGGTAGGAGAAGAAAGGGGATATATGTGCCTCTTTTAGCTTTTCTAAAAATTACACCAATACAATATTGTAGTGTACTATCAAGTCAGAACTGACTCTCAGCTGATCCTCTTTTGAAATTTCAGAGGCTTTAATCATATGGAGGAGACTGTCCGTCTTTCTCCCATGGAGCAGTTGGTGGATGTGAACTGTATGCTTTAGGGTTAACTTCTTAACTCTAGGCGACCAGTACTCCTGGACCACAGGACTATATTTAACAAGGACCTCCACTGGTGGGGTTTGAAGGGAGTTGTGCTCCAGTGTCAGTGTCTCTCTGCTTGAATCCACCAGCGACTCTGAAGAAGAAAGATGGGCAATCTCCTTCCATGCAATTTATCGGCTCCAAAAATCCACTGGAGGGTCAGCTGTGAGTTGGTTCCAACTCGTTTGCAATGAGTTGAGTCTGAACTGATATTTAACAACTCTTGCTGGCTGTTAAAATACTTCTAATTTCCAGTTTTTTTACATGTTGAAGAAGAAATCCTTACCAAACTTCTTAGATGATTTAGGTCCAAATTTTTTGGCTGCCACTGCTGCTTTGTCAATCATGTGTATTCTGAATCCTGTTCCTTCCGAAATTTTTAATAATTCTCGGTGAATCTAAAGCAGAAAATCATAAAGAGTATTAACTGTTAAGATACCTGGATAAGATTAATAATCTTTTTTGCACCAGTAACAAAACTAATTTCTTACTGACCCATGAACACCTGAAATTAACTCTGCAATAATCTGTAGGATCTCAGTTTTTGCCAACCTCAACCCTATTAAGACTGGAGTTTCTTTAGGCCTCACAAACTGATTCTAAGAGATAAAGTCACCACTTCTCTAATCCATTACTAATTTTTAGACTATAGCTAAAGTTCACAAAAAATTATCACATTTCTTACCCCATATTTTATAGATCTGTTGCATATTTGGAGGGTGGAGCAGATCATTATACAGTTTCTTTTACTCAAAAACCAAGATTAGGTTTCATTTTTCTATATATTAAAAATGCAGTTAGAGCAGTATATTTGCTTTTCAGTTTTAAGGATGTTAAAGTAGTTACCAAGTATAAATGTTAAGATAATTTTCTTTTACCAAACTACAAGGCGGCTTAAGATTTTCTTCCAAAGCATAATTTGGGGAGAGGGGGGAAGTCATGATATTAAAAGAGCTTTGCCCATGTGTATGTGGCTCTACAGAGCAGGGGCACTCTAAGCAGGAGAGATGTAAATCTTGCTCTTTTGAGACCTTTTTACTTGAAAGATAACCAAAGCAAACACTAGACATATTTTCTTCAAAACCTACAAGTCATACCTGGCTGGCAAGTTCTCTTGTTGGCGATATAATCAGAGCCCGGAAGCCTTTATTTGTGGGTTGTTTCAGCTGCATTAAAATGGGAATGCCAAAAGCCAAAGTCTTTCCAGATCCAGTAGGAGCAGAAGCCAGAAGTTCTCGACCCTAAAAACAGAGTATGTGAAGTATGAAGAAAAGTGCCTACATTTTCCAGAACCTCACCAAATGTTACCAGTCACAAAACCAACAAAATTAATTTTTTTTTAAATAAAAAAAAAAAAAAAGCATCTCAATTGTCCAAGTTCCCACCTATTTTTCTCACTTATCCTATAACCACTTTTCTAACATCTCCCATCCCTGGCCCTACCACCTCAATGGACTTCCTGGGTCCACTAAAACCCTTTGGTATTACATGAAATGTGTAAATAACAATAAATTATTCACAAACTCTACTATGTACATTCATTTCAACTTTTCTCTCCTACTAAACGGTTCTAGAAAGGTAAAATCATAAAATAAAAAAGACTGGCTAAAATAAGACACACACACACACACAAAATGGCCATGTCCTGATACATGTTACAATATAGATGAACTCTAAAAACTCAGAGTGAAATAATCACAAAAGGACAGATACTATATGATTTGATTCCTATGAAATGTCTAGAATAAACAAGTGTATAAAGACTAAGCTTATTACTGGCCACTAAGGATGAGAAAGAAGAGAGTATCATTAGGTGGGGGATACAATTGAGAAAGCAATGTCCCAGACATTCTAGACTTGCATACTCACATGCAGCATAACTGGAATGGCCTGCATTTGGATTGCAGTAGGGACCTGGAAGCCTGCATCTAGAATATTCTGAAGTAGTCGAGAATTGATTTTATATTCCTGGTCAAGTTGTTGAAATGTAGCAACTGGGTCCGGAATATCAGTTCCTTGGACATGAATTTTGTGTTTATTCCTGAAAATGTTTATCTGAAAAGTGAAACAAAAGGGTCACCATAGCTACTAGCCAAATATACACATCAAACAACAATAATAATTTCTTTCTGAGATAAATTTAGTAGCGTATGGAACTTTCTGGCTAAATTTTAAGCCTTAAGGATTATAGATAGTAGGTAAATTTCATGTTTTTAAAGAGAAAACTTTTCACAATTAAAGCCATCTGTTTATTCTGTTCATATCAAAATGCCACTGCCAAAGTAAAAAAGGAACATTAGTAGTGGAATGGTTAAGCACTAAACTGCTACCAGAAAGCTCAGCAGTTTGAACTTACAAGTTGCTTAACAAGACAATAAAGTTTTCATAACGAAATTTACAGCCTTAGGAACACCAAGTAGAACTGGGATAGTTCTATTTTCTCCTACAGGGTCACTATGAGTTGAAATGGACATGATTGCTACAGTTTTGACCATTAGTAATCTGTTATTCTTGGTATTATGTTTTAAGTTTTATCTTAAATAAATTTTGAAAAGACAGGCACTGAATCCATCTACTTTCTTCATATGAGACCTTGTACATATGCACAAATGCTTTTTGATGCTCAACCTTAAAACTAATGAGTGCCAGAAGTGGAGTTTAGTTTGTTCAGGTCTAAGTTTGGTTTGTTTCTCCATTCTCTCTTCTAGAGCTGACCACATTCTAGATTCTGAGTACTGAAGCACTGCCATAGTCATCTCTCAAGTGAGCTGAACATGCTTCTCTTATCACCAACATACATGATAACAGTGTACTTAAACAGTATTTCCTAAATGTATCATACTTATCCTTTCCACAAGTAATAAAGGTTTCTTATGAATATTTTCTTAATCTCCAATCAGAGAAAACACTTCTAAACCAGTGAACTCAGAAAAAAGGATCTAAATTTTATATCTGATAAAGATTAATACAAGGTGATTGAGAGGTATAATCTGGCAGTTTCACAGGAATAAGAAATAACAATTTTAAAAACAGAATTCTAAACTCTATACCAATCTTGAAACTTGAGCAGGTCAAGAAATACATACAGGAGAAGGAAGCGGGATTGGAGAGAGGTGTAAAAAAATCAACTACACTATGTCTTAAAGTCCCAAACTTTAAAATGTTCAACCACAGAACAAAGGCCTACTTTGCTTTCAGTTTCTGCTAAAATAAATCCAACAGAATGTAATTCATCTTCGTGACCTCTGTCTAAGAAGTTGCAGTGCCAACTCCAAGGGGCATGGTTTAACTCCACCAGCCCCGCTCCTTGGAAGAAAGATGGGGAATTTCCTCTCCTGTGGTTTCCAGTCTCAGAAAAACTCACTAGATGTCAGCTGTGAGTTGTCTCCATTACTCCAAAGCAATGAGTTGAGTCAGCAGAGTAAAAAGATACCAAATTTAAAAAAAGACTTATTTTTTAGTATAATACATTTTTCAAACCTTTTCCTTTCTGAGCAGTTCCAACTTTTCTGAAGTTAGTTTCTTTTGTCCTTTAACTTTTTTATCTTCAATCTTTGCTTCCACAGATGATATCCACTGTATAGTAGTTCCTTCTTCTGGGGAAGTAATTTCTAAATAAATATTTACAAATTTATGGAGATTTTAGTTATTAAAGTTTTGGGTACAGGAAAGAGGTTAAGTTACTATTTTCACACTAAACAAAAGAAAAAAACACTAGCTGATGTAATCAAAGAAAGAAATAAATAGGTACAAAAATTAGAAAAGCAGAGCCAAGTTCTGGGTTGCTATACTCAGAACTCTGCAGCTTATTCTCCTTGCTGGGTTATTTCAACCACCTTATAGTTCAGATATGAGTGTACACTTGGAAACCACAATGGAGTTAATTAAAAGACTATTTAAACAACAGAGAATTAAGGTAGCTAGATTTTACTTCAGCAAAACAAAAAGTTAGAGGATACTAATATATGCAACAACAAATAAACCTCAAAATATCCGTGCTAAGTAAAAAGTCAGAGAAAAATGACATTATATCATTTTCTGTAAAATTTCAGAAAAGGCAAATTAATCTACAGTCACAAAAAGTAGATCAGTAGTTGCCTAGGGACATAATGATGGCTTCATGGATTGTAACTCATCATATTATATACTTTTGTGTCTGAGTGCGGGTAAAATAGTAATGACATATTATAAAGTCACATCCCCAAAGGGATAGAACTGAAAGGAAATTTGGAGGGAAGGCCTTTCAGCATTTAGCATAAGATGTGCCAATTGTGGTAATGGGCACCCATGGTGGACAGTGTTGGCTGGAGCTTCCCGACTAAATCAAGCCTGGAAGCAGGAGCGGCATCCACTT